ATATTTAAGGTAATAGTAAAGACCTTACTAACTTTAAAAAAAGATTATTAGGTATAAAAGGCTTAGTTAAAGGTTATTTTTATTAGTATTATAAAGTAGGTAGTAAGGTTAATAAAAATAAGGTTAACTATAGATTTATTATTATTATTATTATCTTAATCTTTTTATCTTTAAAAGTTATCTCTAGACTATACTCTCTTATTAAAGGCTAGGCTATATTCCTTTTTAAAGGAATTAAGGTCTTTTTAGCTTAGCTAGAGAGTTAAATATTTAGTTATTTAAAAGGGGATAGGCTCTATTAGTTATAGGACTAGCGGTATACCTATAGTGTTAGCCTATATAGCTAGCGAAAAAAAGGGGGGTTTTCTAAGCTTGTTAAGTATAAGGTGATAGCTTACGTAGGGCACTAATAGCCCTACTAATAAAGAATTTATTAAAGGAGAGAGTTGGTTGCCTGTGGAAAGTGCTGGAACGAGTAGGCAACGGATAAATGATGCTGAGCGCCAGTGCAGCTATCAACTGGCATAATTCAGCGTAATCATGGATGAGCTCATCGCAGCTCTAGTGGCGCGAAATATTGAAGAGCTTTTTGAGCAGTGTGGAATTAAGAAACCCGGGCAAGAACAAGCCAACGCCACCATTCGAAGCTTGACAGCTTCTAGTGTGTATAAACAAAGCCACTTGCTACTAGTATTTTATGCTAAAAAGACTGCAGTTTGCGATATTCGACTGCAGGCCGGAATCAACAGCGTTATACCGTGTCCGGACGAACAGGTGCCTGCAACTAAATTCCGAGGCTCATACAGGCTACTGCAGACCGATTCGAAACGCGGCGCTGCGAACTATGCAGGCATGGATAAAGCACCGAGAAAAAAACGAAAGACCAAGAAGAGAGAGCTGGATATTTTGACGGCCCGGAATGCCGACCATAACCACTTGACCCCGGAAAGTAGCGATGCGCCGGACAATCCTCCAACGTGTGCACCTGGGTCAAATGGTCAGTTGTCCGGAGACCAAGCTGCTGCGGCGACAGATTCCGCAGACAGTCTGACTCCAAAAAAAGTTCCTGATAGTGTCCATGCACCAAGTGGCACTGGTGACAGTGTCGATTCAGATGCCTCTGATCAGGTGAGTGCTAACACCACAGTTGACGAGTCATCGCACAACGCCGGAAACATTGAATACAGCCCTCCACCACTGGTGTTGCCTCGACTGCCAGCTGCCGAGGCAAAGGTAATGGAGTCAATACTGGTAGATTGTGAGAAGTTGAACCGCAAGCTACACCAAGTATCGATGAGTAAAGAGCAGACAAGCTCGTGGACTGCCAACACCACAGGAATCCAAGAATACGTCGCAGATATTGCTCAGCGCGACTTTACGGAGGCCGTTCGTCATATCAACACCGGCAACGCTGCGCTCGCGGGAAGAGACATAGAATCGCGGTACAGCCAGGCTTACTTCTGGGATATCATCACGAAACTTGCAAATGAGATGGATCCAACGAAAGTAAAGAATGCGAGAGGGCCACTAACCGACTTCACCGAGCCCGAGAGGCAAGCGACCCGAGAATTTTTGCGAAGCACTGGCGCTGACAATCTGACTTACAATCGCCTAAGCGAGTACCGCCAGCGCTGGCGTCGACTGTCCAACATGCGAAGAGCCGGTGTCGACAAGATACTCTGCTACCACACCAAACAGTTCAATACTTTTTGCAAGCACTATGAGGGCGATGACCTACAAAGCAAGGTATTGTCATGGGAACATCTATATGAGTGGTTCATCACGCACTTGGAGCTCAGAGTAGCAACGTCATGCAGCGGCGATAGAACTGGCAGGCTATGGCTGAAGCACCCATTCGTAGCTGAGAGGCTGCGTATTCCTGAAGACCTATGGAACAGTTCAGTGAACATGTGGGGCTCCGCCAGCGAAAAGGCTCAATTCGAGTTAGCGTATGAGCATACGCGCCTTTCCGATGCCCAACTTGGAGGTCCGTCGGCGAACCATAGCGATGATCGCGACAAATCCATGTTTGTCACTCTACTTCCTAGAGACCAATGCTCTTTATATGTGTGCCCCATCGTCCCGGTATACAAAGGAGACGTTCTAGGCGCCTTTTCTGGCAAGGTTCGATACTCTGAAGCTTTCGACGTCGCACGCGGCATTCCCGGTCCTGTAGACAGACTATGGCTGCATTATAGAGGAGTTACGGGTGCACTGAACTTGATGGATGTCGCCGCACCTGGTGGGGATGCCAATGTCCGTCTTGCGTGGCAGGGCCAGTACCACCTAGAAAATGGCAAATGGAGCTGCTCGTGGAAGGTATTCGTTCACGCCACCAAGGTAATCAAGCCGTTTGAAGGGCTCATTCGCGCTGCTCCTGATTTGGAACAATACCGCCTGCACCAGTCGGCTGAACAAGCAAGAAGAGCATTTATGGCAATGTCGGCTGTTGAAATGCATGGCGGGAACACGTAGCAGAATAATAACATAATTCACATGGCAATATCACATACATCGTACCTCGTCTTGCAACAAAAAAGATTCTGACAAGTAATGTTGTTCCCTTTGTTTCTAGGCCTGGGCAGACTGACATGGGTCGTTCGTGCGCTCGTGACAATTGCAGTTTGTGCATTTTGACACTAAATACCAAATGGTCCAAGCAGGTGTCGCTCCTCGGAATAGCACGGGGCCTCGCTGTTTCACTGTTACAAGCGCTGCACCAAAATTGGGCAGGAGTCTTACCGGTTCAATCATATGCGTAGTATACATTCATTCATTGTTTATTACGCCCGGTGGCTTCCACCCAATAGGGCTTCGCGCAGTATACATATGTAGCCACCATTATGGTCTGTTTTTTGTTGTCGCTTTGGTGTCAAGGAGCATCTTTTGTCGGTTTAGCCTAGCAAAATTTCTTTTGCATGAGCCAGAAGTGAACTCGTGTTTGTTTCTTTCGTTGCTATGATGCGTCCTGAAGGCACTTAGTACATGGAGGTGCAGCAGTGCTGCAAGAAGCGTTGAAAACCGCTGTGCCTAAAATAAATAACTTAAAAACATGGTGCGCTAATTTCGCCTTTCACTGTACAGCTTTGGAAGCGATCAGAAAACGGAAGGGATTAGTGGCGCGGATGTTGCGAGCAGGCAGACATATACCTAGGCATAGCTAGTAAGCCCTATTGGCTGGAAGCCACCGGGCGTAATAAATCAATGAATGAATATACAGCTTTAAAGGATATCCTTAGGTCAGTTTCTACTCTTGATACATTCATTTATTGTTTTATTACGTCTGGTGGCTTCCAGCTAATAAGGCTCACTAGCTATTTATAGATATATTGTAGGCCACTTGCCTCATCCCTTCCACTTCATCTCTGTCGTTCTCTGTTCGCTCTACTTCGTCTTTTCATCCCCAGCATCTAACATTCTACGTGATGTATTATCAATGACTAACTAGCTTGGGGGCTATTCGCTAAGTGTTCGGCGTCCTATCCACAGCGACCGAAGCGTCGCTAGTCATGCTCGCCGCGAACGTGGCTTCGTGGTCTGATGAAAAGGCTATCGTAGTTCTTTGCTTGTCAATTGTCGAACCGTCCTGTGGCGAGTGTGAATTGTATCGTTGCTCGAATTGCTCCCTTGTCTGGTTTCCAATTCGGTCCGTCTGATGCCGACTTTCCTCCTAGTCGGAGTGACAAATCATCCCATCTCGTGCTTGTGCTTGCTCGTAACTCTTTTCGCTGCTCTATCTATACAGTAAACGTTCATCTGAATTTGAGTCTTATAAGCTTCTTGAGCCATTACCTAAAATACCTCACGTATACTGTACAGTACCTAAAGCTTTATCGTTTCAGCAATTTGCATGTTCTAGATTAACATCCCGAAAATCTCCTGGCGTCCTCCTCAGTACAGGGGGGTAGACCTTGTCCTTCAAGCTTTTAGTTTCCTATTGTAGCATAATTCTTTTACTCCACTTACTAGGTCTGTTGGAGGGATCGGGAATGCTGCATCATCCGTAGAGCAATACTCATATTGCTTATTCTTCCACCGAACGAGTATATAGACATCGGCGCTGTACCGGCGACTCAGATGGTCACACCTTCGGAGCGTGCGAAGGACAGCCCTCACCAGGTTGTCCCTTGTCCTGTCACGCTTCTTGGGTAGAGTAACTAGATTCATCATATGATCTTAGACAATTAAAAATACAGATGTGGTCTGGAGCTGTGTCGTGCCCCGGGGATGGTGGCATCTAGAAATACCTTGGAATAGTCGCTTTGGACGGGGGAGCGCCGTGTCTTCGTGGAAATCGGCCATAAACCGCGCAACTAGCAAATTTACCAGAGCTTGTCCTCCATTAGCTGAATCACGAACAAAATATCTTTCGCGGGATGTTTTGGACTTTCAGAGAAGTCACCCACCCCGAGCAGCCAGTGCTGAAGCTACCACAACAGTGCGTAGCACTTAAGCCATTGACTCAAGCTGAGCTTTGGATATGCACCAATTCTAGCTGTTCTTATTTCGTCGACCAAGCAGGTATAGTATTGTTTTGTGGATGTAGAGTGCGTGGATTCATTTCCAGTTGTTGCATCCATATCATTCTGCCCTTGGTATTGCGACCATGTTTGGAGCACTGCATACTGGCACGGACCATCTGCAAGACCCTGCTACAGGGTCATAAAATGGCAGCTTTCGGAGCTTTCTTGGAGTTCAAGAAACAGAATCCGGCGAAATATAGCCATTTCAAGCCTATCAGCAGATTATTGCCGAAGTCGTGATACTGGCCATTTCTTGCTTTGTTAGGCCGTTCATGGAGCTGATCAGGACAGGACGTAGCTTCACTCACTATTTACTCTGGGCTTGGGGATTTTTAGGTTTAAATAGGCTAGTGGACTTTAGTAGTCCACTGAAGCTCTGCAGGCTGACATGGACGACCACTTTCTGGCGAGTGATAGCGACTAGGGTATTCCGACAAAAATGTGTAGACGGTGGCAGCTAGAAACGGCTCGCTAGAAATGGCTCATCATTGCATCGCAAAGGGAAGAAAAAAAAATAAAAAATTGAAAGAAAAGAAGGGCCGAGGGGGACCTCTTTGGTGTAGTGCTGCTGAATTGCTAGTGGGACTACGATATAGGAGGGGAAGAGAGGGTACTACTGTACCGATAGCATCGCCTTCGCCTGTTATAGTAACACAGCTGGCTCATTCTAAAGACAGGCAGCTACAGTAAATACCGTACCTGCTCTCGCTTGCTTATTTCAAAAGCAACATGCCTCATCCGTCTTCATACGTTCCCTTACGTCTTTACAATTCATGATGAGCGACGTGTCCGCTGCAAGCGATGTTCTTCCGTTCTGCCGGCGCGTAACCAAGGTTTGCGCTCAGCGTTTCATCCCAATCAAGGCACTTACGAAGCAGGCGGTTGAAGAAAAGATGCAGTTCTTGCAGTCTTTGAATCATCGAAATCTTGTTTCAATAGAAGAGATAATTCTTCACGAGGATTCTGATATGATTGAGCTTAGCCTTGAGTTCATGCCGCTCTCGGTTGTAGAACTTTGCGTTCGCGTTTTCCCTTACCATGATGAATTTAGCCTCGCTGCGATTCTAGGCCAGGTATTTACTCCTCGTTAGGTAATACCACACTACTGCTACAGCAACTGATACCGTCAGGCCATCGAAGGGCTCTTATATCTCGAGAGTGCTGGGCTTTGTCACACTAGCTTCACCGAGTCGCAAGTCCTGGCTGACTTCGCGGGGAATGTCAAAATAAGTGAGTTGGACTGCCTATGCTACCAAATCCAACACAGCATATACTGACGCACATAAGGCGGCCCAGACTGGTGCGAGAAAGGGAAAACGCTACCTCTACAGCTGTTGCCGCTCACACAGCATCTAATGTACCCTTGGCTTTACTCGGAACGTGTGCGCAGTGATGCGACAAAGTGGGCAAGAGGCACTCATGCTGTTGAGTTCTGGCAGACCGTGTCACGGCCGACTACAAGCTTGAACGCCCTCGAAAAGGTAGCATTAACCCCACCTTGCGAGTGAGTATGTACTGACAGCAAACTAGAGCGCGTTACTTCAACTTCCATGGAAAAAATTGTATGTACGTGAGTTGATGCTGCTCGCCGTCGACCACGTTCGCACAGAGAAGAAGATGAGGCGGGCTATTGGGATGGATCGTCTCAGCAGTGACGCACGCGCCTCAATGTAGCGCCCCATCATCGATGAGTGAACCCTCACGGTTTAGATTGGCAGCCCTTAACAGTGAATTAGCCATGCCCACTCAGTGTTGCCCAAATTGTGGGGAGCACCCCCACGTGCCCTACGTGGCAGGGTCTGCCTCAACTACACGCTGGTTGGAACGAGCGAGCGAGCTACTGTCAGGAACGGGGGAGCCTCGGGTCCATGCGCTCCATCGAAATGACTTCGGGACTTTTTTTTGGTTGATTCTTTTTGGATGGTGTGTTTTTTGTACAGTCATGGGCAATAATGCCTTCCGCTTTTACAAGATTGATTGTAACTCTTAGAGGACCCACATAGTGTGAACTGCGCTGAGTTGCATACTGTATACTTCAATGACTGCGGTGCTTGTATTATCAACGAAGCTATGGAGTTTCGCAATCTATTATTTAGATCTGGATATACTCATAGGCAGAATAGGCTTCCAGTGTTAATAAAGCACTTAGTTTTCCGACCAATTTCTACAGCGTAATAAATTTGGTTGAATTTTCTAAAGGAAGTAAACTCTATTTAATACTATAACCTTATTCTTAATAAGGCTATAGGTATATTCTTTAAAGCTTATATTAATAAAAATAATAATATAGACTTAGTTTTATTACTATTTCTAGATAAGATTCTTAATAGTCTTATTACTATAAGCCTTAGTTAAAATAGAACTATTTCTTTAGCCTTTTAATAGTAATCTATTAAGATTATTAAGTCTTAGTATATTAATTATTTTTAGCTTCTATTTAACCTAATTACTTTTAGATTTAAGTTTTAAGATATTTAATACCTTCTTTAATATTAAGAATATAATATTAAATAATAAAGAAGGTAATATAGCTATAAAAGGATCTTAGCTTATATATAGAAGTTAAGTTACTAATAGTACTATTTATTAAGGGAGTAGAATTTTAAGATAATAAAGAGGATAATAGGCTAAGTATATAGTCTCTTTTTTTAAATTAAATATCTTATATTTTACTTAAAAGTAAGAAGTATTTAAGTAAGTAATAGGGAATTCTTTTTACTAAGTAAGTAATTACTATATACTTTTTATAGTAGTTAAGACTATAGATTATAATAAGTAATCTAATAAGTATATCTATTTAAAGGCTATAACTATACTAGGTAAATTTATATTATAATATATATAAAATAAGTATATAGAGTTTATATATAAATTACTAAGTAGGGTATAGTAGTAGAATTTCTTTTTCTTTATATAGAATTTTTATAGTAAATAGACTTATTAAATATACTCTAGATTAGTTAGAGTTTAGAGTCTTTCCTTTTTTTATATATAAGGAGTTATAAATTTCTTAAGTTTTATAGTAAATATTAGCTTATATAGATAGTAGGTAAATTTAATAAGAAATTAATACTTTCTTTTATTTTATTAGTAGCTTTTATAATATAAGTATTACTAGGCTTATAACCTATTAAGACTAATAAGGTATATATAGGGTAAGAAGTAAAGTTATTATATTATATAACTTCTATCTAGTTATATAGTATAGGTAAGTACTAGATATACTAGGTAATAGGAGATTATTCTTCTAGCTTCTAAGCTGCTTATTATTAAATAGACTTACCTATTCTTTACTTAACCCTTTTAACCTTCTTTCTTTATAGCCTTATCCTAACCTAGGCTAAGTACTATATATAGTTAAGGTCCTTTCTAAATCCTAATCCCTAGATACTTTAAAGTTTAAGTAGGTATAATAATAATTATAAAAGGCTATAATATCTACTTTTATTATTCTTTTTTTTAACTTCTATAGTTTATTTTTTATATTATCTATACTAAATAGGTAAGAACCTTACTCCCTATAAAGCCTTATTTAACCTAAAACTAATTAAGATAGCCTTACTACTTTCCTACTTCTATATACTTTTATACCTATTTTTACTTCTTACCTTATAATTACTCTATTTATATCTTTATACCCCTCTTAAGCCTCTAACTTAATATAGGCTTATATATAGTTTTTTATATTTATTATATTAAGTAAGGAAGGTATTATAGCTATATATATTTAATTATTATTATTTTTAATTAACTATTTAATTAATTAGCCTATTTACTATAATATTTAAAAAGCCTTAAATTCTTTAATTTTTACTCTTTTTCTTCTTTTTTTAACTATATATAATTATATATTTTCCCTACCTTTAATATATATACTACCTCCTTATTATTACCTTTACCCCTACCTAGGCTAAGCTATTTTTACTTTAGCTACTAAACTATACTAACTCTTTTTCTTACTAGTTTTTTACTATTACTACTACCTTACCTATATACTCTCCCCTTCTACTTACTTTTATATATCTCTTTAGGCTACTCCTAGTCTTTTCCTAATATTACTAACTCTTTATTAAAATAAAATAAAGTTTTAACTACTATTATACTACTATAGTAAGTTACCTTATCTTTAATATATTTCTAGCCCTATCCTATCCTTAACCTTATTAGTTTAATACTACTATTACTACTAATAATATAAGTAACCTTTATCTATCTATTATCTACCCCTATTTTAGTATTAATCTAGCTAGCTACCCCTCCCTAACCCCCCCTTACCCCCCTACTACCCTACTAAGCGCCTATACTAGGTTATTACTACGGCTAAGCTAGCACTAGTCCCTTATAATAGATAGCTAATAAAGTTATTATTATTAGCTAGGTTATAAATATTATTATTTTTATTAATAATTCTTAATACTACTAATATAGAAAATATAAAGAGTATTATTTACTTAGGCCTTATAGTTAAAGTAATAAGTATATTATAGTATTTTATTATTAAGCTTTTACTAGTTAATAAGTTATAAGTAATTAGAGTAATTTCTATATATTTTTAGCTTTTATTAATTACTTATTAACCTAAAAAGTAATATATAGTTTTACTTTTATAGCCTAAAGTAAAGTTATTTTATTATAAGTAAAAAAGGTTATATTTAAAATATTTAAATAGCTAGTTAAACTATTCTTAAAAAATAATATTATTAATAACTACTAGTTTATTAAGTCTATTAATATTTATAATAATATAGTTAATTTAGCTTTTATATCTAATTAAAATATATAGAATAGTTTTAAAAACTATTCTTAAAATATAATAAAAGGTTTTTTACTATTTATAACTATTTATAATTTATAAATAACTAAGGTTAAGTTTATTTTTAAACTATAGTTTATAAAAAGTTATTAGTTTATTATTCTTTATTATAGAATTATATTATTAAAAAATAATATAAGCCTATATTATAATTAATTAGAATTTAATTAGTATTTTTAGCTAATATATAATAAAAAAAAGCTTATTTTATAATATCTTATTCTTAACCTTAATAATACTATTTTATTAATATTAATTAATAATAGAATATTATAAGTATATATTTAAAGAAATATAAGAGTTTTTAAACTAAGTTATATTATTCTTCTTTTTTTAATCTAGCTAAATAAAGTAGTATTTATATTCTAAATATTCTTATATTTTTAAAAGATTTAATATTATATTAAGTAGTTAAGATTTCTTTTTAATAAAGAATAAGTAATATATTCTAATATAATTATTAATAATAATAACTTAATACTAATTCTTTTTCTAAGAAGTAAATAGGGTATTAATAATATTAATATAAAGGCTTTTAAAATAATATATTTCTTTTTAAAATAAATAAATATAAAGGTTTTTTTTTATTTCTTTATAAAATAGCTAATATAATATTTATATTAGTTAATAAACTTTATATTAATAAAGATAAAAATAAGTTTAATAATATTCTATTTTCTTAAATATTTAAGTTAATTATATTATATTTTATATTTTAGGTTATTTATTATATAAGCTAATATACTAATATTTAAAGTAATATAGTTAATTATATAGACTTTAGTAGTTTATTAAATAATAAAAATAACTATTTAATTCTTTATTATAATTACTTTTTTTTTATTAAAGACTATTATAATATCTTTTATTATTAAGTAGCTAATAAAAAGTAGGCTTATTAAAGTACCTTTTTATAGAATACTATTATATAATTTTAAGGTAATCTTAGGATTCTTTATAGTAATAATAGCTATTTTATAAATAATAGGTTTTAAGATAATATTAATAAAACTTTAAATATTAAAGTTTAAGTAAAAAGATAGGTTTTTTATAAGTTCTTTATAGTTTAAAATATAGTTAAATATATTAAAGTTAAATACTATTAATTTTTAATATAATAATATAGAAAGACTAAATCTTATTTAGGTTTAATATTTATAAAAGTATTATTTATTTTAAATTAATTAAAATATTATAAATTCTAAAAAATATTAAAAGTAAGTTAAGCTAGTTTAAAGTTTATAAAAAGACTTATATACTATTTAAAGCTAACCTTTTTATATTTATATTTATTATTAAATTTCTTAGTTAAATATTAATATTTTTTATTTTATTAAAAAGAAAAAAGTAAGTTTATTAAATAAAGTTTAAAATATAACTTTTAATATTATTTATTAAAGTAACCTAAAAGCTTATAAAAAGAATAAAAATACCTAATAATATTAGGTTTTATTATATTATAAAGAAAATACCTTTTAATAGCTATTATAGTAATTAAAATAGCTTACTATTTAGATTTTTTATTATTTTATTATTTAAACTTAATAAAGTTAATTATAATTATAATTATTTATATAAATATAGTTATAAAAGCTATAATAATATTATTAGTTTAATTTAAAATAAGATAAAGGGTTATTTTAGTAATATAAAAGTTAAACTTTTTATTAAGATTATTAATAAAAGAAATATACTATTAAAGTCTTAAGAACTTTAAAATCTTTATTAAGAGATTATTACTTAGCTTAAGTATTAATAAATATTATAGCTAGTTTCTTAATAAATCTATATTAAATAAAGGTTAATATTAAAAGATAATTAGCTATAATTTAAAAAATAGTAATACTTTTTAATTTAAAGTTCTTTTTTAAAACTATAATTATATTTAATACTATAATCTTATTCTTAATAAAGCTATAAGTATATTCTTTAAGGCTTATATTAATAAAAGTAATAATATAAACCTAATCTTATTATTATTTTTAAATAAGCTTTTTTATAGTCTTATTATTATAAGTTTTAATTAAGATAGAACTATTTTCTTAGCCTTATAATAATAATTTATTAAGATTATTAAGTCTTAATATATTAGTTATC